CTTCTTGTCGGTACGATGAAGTTGTTAAATTAATAATTTGTGTAGCGGAAGTACACGTCAATATTGCGATATTCTCCAGCGGAATGCAATTTCCAGTTTCTAGACTTCTCATTTCTAAATGCATTAACAATTTTCGATATATGGCTTTAAATTGTTTCACGTTTGGATTATCATTATGGCCCCCATGCATTTTGACGCAGCCAAAAAATATTTCAAGATGATCTTGGCTAAGTTTATAAGTAGGTAAAAACACCATACATTTTTCTTTTTCTATCAGACGCTCATAAAGTGACTTTAAACTTGATATATTTAGCAAGTTCCAATAAAACCAGGTTTGCATCTTGTTTCCACAACTCTCTTATAAAATCGCGTTATAACGTACGTTGGTCGACGGTCTTTAATAACTTTTCTTTTGGTGACACTTTTTATTTGCAATTTTTGTATGTAATCCTGAAGCCGGTTCAAAAGTGCATAAATTTCAGTTTTATTTCCTTTATATATAGGTTTTCTGTAATCGAAATGGGCCATAGTTCGTGAGTTAAAAATATCAAACATGTCATTCATTAAGTGAACAAATTCTTCAGTGGGTTGCGAACGTTTAAAATCTGGTAGATTTAGATCAGTTCTACAAAACTGCTGTGCTTTCGCAACACTCCTGCTTAGCGTCTGTGTAGCAAGCTTTACTTTCATAATTTGGTTTCTGAAGGAAATGTGTTTTCTAGAAAGTTTATTTGTCTTTATTATTTGTTTTTAAGTGTAGGCCCTCATCTTCTTGCAACTGGTTTAGTTTAGCTAAAAAGTTCCAGTCTACAATTTCTTCATTTTTATTTAAGAATTCTTTTTTTTATTCTAGCTAGTTCCGAAGTAATTTTATTACATGACTGGGATCTAAAAAGCATGCAACTTCGCTAGCATCTGAGGGGTGCTTTAATGTTGTTTTCATATTTTGAGTATCAGTTATATTACAACCAAGTAGCTCCATGGTAGTAAAATTTGTAGCATGCCCATCGAATGTTAGTGATACAACTTTGACTCCAGCTTCGTGACATTTCATGAGACATAGTTTAACTAAATTAGATTTCTGTTCCCCAGTCAAATTGTTTGTCAAAAAGTATCCCAAAGGTATCTTGAATCGCTGGTTTATTCCTACTAACATAAATACAAATGCTTGAGATGCCAAAGTTGTAGACTCTGTTAATTCATCGCCCATATCGACAACCCTACCGTTTACCATCCCACAGCTTCTGCTGGCGCAACGCCATTTTATTAAACATAAGTCCGCAAATAAGTTTATGAGGAGAAACTTCCGCCATTTTTGCAATGCTGTGAATGCTTCTTGGGTAAATCCAGGTTCGCTTTTAATGTGGGTACACCATTTTGTCAACGTTTTAGGATGAGGCAGGCAACTATTGAAGGCTTTTCTGACGTAATAATAGCCCTTTGGAGAGTAAAAATTTAAAGATAAGCAAAATTTTCTGATGGCCGGGGAATATTTAATTATTTTTTTACCGGAGCTTCGCATGTGTAAATTATGAAAAAATTCAGTTGCTATAATATTCTCACTTAACAAGCTATGAGTGTCGCAATTTATAAAGTTTTTATCTTTTAAATCCTTTAAAATATTCTTTAGTGAATCATAACTTTTTTTTTAGTCGTTGATTTTTTTGTTGTAATGTTTTTAACTTATGTTTAGTAGCATCTCGTAACAACTTATGTTTTCTTAAATCTTTTCTTAATTGACTTTTTCTAGGTGTATCGAATATAGAGTCCCGGTCCGAATCTCTAAATTCAGGTAATACAGAATTATCTTTAATAGATTTTTCGGGTAGTAGACTAGCTCCAGTAAGTTTGAAGGACCAACTTGGTCCAAACTTGGTTTTTCCGGTGATGGCGGCAACGCGCATAAGTTTTTGGTCGGTTTTGCACTTTTGTTAATCAATCGACGACCTTTTTCGGTAAAGTATACATCATCCTCTTTAAAATGCAATGAGCATACAACACAAAATTTTGAAGGCATCCAATTATTATCCTGCCTACTTTGACGAATAATAGTAACCCATTCATCGCGTAATACTAGATCCGTCGGAAATCTGCAAAAACATAAGTCAAATTATTATATATAACAATAAAATAGAGCGGCCAATAGAAAATCTCAAAATTGAAAAACATAGCTGTGTTAAAATATATAACAAGATTTTCGAACAAAGATATAATATATATACATAAGTTATTTCCGTATACAAATGTATAAATTAATCAATCCTCCTTTCGATGTAAACTGGCAACACAGACCAATTGTTGACAATATTTTGTGTTCCGAGAGAGCCAAATATATTAGAGGGAATATAAATAACAAACCATTAAAATAAGCAATAGTTACCTATACTCCATCTTCTTTTCTTTGTTTTTGGGAACAAATTTTACAATGTTTAAAAACACAAGACGGCATGTTTTAACATAAAATAATAAATCACTTGTGACGTGTAAGCAGTACGACGCGTAGTTTAGTACTGACGAGATTGTATTCGCTTCTGAATTTGTATTTGCTTTCGTGGCTTCACTCTCGTGTTCTACGCGCTCCATCTGTCTATTCTTTAATCTGAGACTTGTGGTTTTCGATTGTGTCCCATATAAAGCTTTAAAAAAATATGAATACTTCATGTAGAGAACTAGTTTTGAAAATATATAATATGTTATGGTTTCATACACTTATTCCTAACGATTGGAAAGAATACTGTTTGATAGCCCATTTTAAAGCCTTAAAAAACCACACATTGCAGAATCTTACAGACCTATAGCACTTACATCTTATATGGGAAAAATATTAGAAAAACTTATAAAATCCAGATTAGAATTTTATCTAGAAAAAAATTGTCTTTTACCATCAAATCAGTTTGGATTCAGACGCCGCAAGTAATCTAAAGAAATATCAATCGTCATTTAGACATCTTTAAAGCTATGGAAAATAATGAAGTATTAATTAGTATATTCCTTGACATTGTTGATGCATTTAATAACGTTAATCTTCAGGTAATCGCCGCAGAGTTGAGGTCTCTGGGCGTTCCTGAAAAAATTGTAAAATGGATATTTCACTTTTTACATGAAAAAAGAGTTTTTGCTAAAGTTAATAATAATAATACAATTATGGGTCCTAGACTCAGCTATAAAAGTGTTTGTCAAGGAGGAATATTAAGTCCTCTCGTCTTTATTTTATACATATTTAAATTAAACAATATTTTAGGATCAAATGTTACTAATTATAATATGCAGATGATTTGGTCATATATGCCTCAGGAACGAATGTCAAAAACTTGGTAACCATTTTAACACATTAAACACGTCCGGTCACCGGTGACCTACGTGGTCACCGGTGACCGGACCCTGCCCCGTGTCTAGACGCCACGTAGGTCACCGGTGACCTCGAGGCATATCTGACTTTGAACCTTATTTCTACAGCTAAGCACTTAGATTTCATTGATTTATAGCCAGCATGTGGCCGGAGTGGCGCTGTAGAACACTTGCTGAATGGTTCTTGTGTAGCAAATTTTTTTTTTTCAAGTTATAAGGAAAACCTTATTGCCGTCCGCGGTTCTACTTGCCAACATTATTAAATCATTTTTTGAAGCATTAATTTACTTATAAAAATACGTTTTTTGGCTTTTAAATCTCATAAATATTATGTAGCATTCCATAACGTTAAGGTAGTCAAATAACAAAATTTGCAATGATGTAAGGACTTACAAAGTAGAAAAACGTTTCAAACTAATCCTTTATATTTTATGAATTCTGTTAAAACAAGGCAAACATAAATGCGGTTCGTTATCGCATTCGCTGCAAAATGTAGAGACTTTTTTAGTTTTGTTTTTGGCGGGCTTGGATCCGTAAGTATCAACATTAGTTTTATAACATTGGGCACAAAAACGCCTTGTACTTCTCACAGTACCTTCTTTGGTTTGAAGCTTATGTTTAACTCTTCTTGGTCGCTCATTGCTTGCTTCAGGTCCACTTTCTGTCTGAGTCAAGTAGTCTACCAATTGCCTTCTGAATTGGACTATCCCTATATTTGTTTTTTTGTTTTCACAATACATCACCCATGAATTTACAAGAGCAGTATTCAGAATAAGCTCTATAGCTAATTTTTGTACCATTTTACTGTTTTTCGCAATGGCGACGAGTAAGAGGTCATTTGGTCACTTATCTCTACTGAGCCTTTTGCTTTATTGTAGGCAACAATCATTTTTGGTTTGCGAACCACTCTTCCTTTTTTCACGACGGTGGTGAATCCCTTTGAGTGCTTTGTAGAGAGCATTAACTCATCCCTTTTGGACTTCCATTTTAGGACACAAATACCTCGCTCGTTTTCCCTGGCAATAGACTCTCCTGGCTGTAGTTTTGATTCGATTACTTCTTTTGGTAACCCTTTTCGTGATTTTCGTAAAGTTCCGACGAGATGAGTGTCCTTGTCAAGAAGTTGGTTTGCAAGCGGAAGACTAGTATACCAATTATCTGTTGAAACTGTATGCCCGCAGTTTAATATATTCTTACATAGCTCCATGACTACGTTGGTTGGCGAAGTATTTACCAGTTCGTGGTTCTTACCTGCATAAAGGCTTAGTTTACAGGTGTAGCCTGGTAACGTTCATAGTTTAAATAATTTCATTCCGTATTTATGACGTTTGCTTTTATTGTATTGGCGGAATATTATTTGACCTCTGTGTGGCACTTAACTTTCATCTACACATACGTCCTCTTTCGGTGCGTAACAATTTTCAAATGTTTGATTAAGGGAATCGATGAGCGGACGAATTTTATTAATTCGGTCCGACAAATTCGCAGTTTCGTTGTTAACAAAATGCAAATATTGTAAAAGTATTTCGAATCTATTCCTGCTCATTACAGTACGAGGAAAATTTTGACCAAAAACTTTATCTCTGCTCCAATAATCCGTGAGTTTTGGAACTTTTACTAGACCCATGTACAGAACCAATCCAAAATTTTTTTTATTTCGTCTGTGGTTGTTGGTTTCCATGAACGTGACCGCGATGATGGTTTAGAGCTTGGTCCCGTTTGTACTGCGAACAAATTCGTTTGCATGGCAATTTCTTCAAAAATCTTATCCGGAACAACCAGGCTATAATATTCTCCAGCTGGAGCTGTTTTGCATACGGTTGCTTCGTACCTAAAAGCAAAAAAAAACATTACACATCCTATTCGATGAAACTCTAAAGCAATACAGAAACAAATCCTGTATCTTTTATATTATTAGTTTAGAAAAGTTCACGTCATTTATTTGTATTGATTTTAGTATAATGGACACTAACCTGTGGGTTCAGTAAATGCAATAACTGATGGCTGGTGACCTTTTGGTGTTGACCAACTTTGACGAGCGTTATCCTGTAGTTCGCAGATTCTAGAGTTTAAGGTTTCGTCTGGATCGTCGTCACTATCCGAATCACTGGCGATAAAGATGCGCTTACGCTTTTTTGATGGAATTGGATCATCATTATCACTTTCTTCCTCACAGATTCGTTCTGGTATCTCACTAAAAATGCTAGCTTCCAGCAAATCTATATTTCGTAAATCTTCCTGCGATATATCTAAGTCGATATAAGCGTCTATCTCCATCGCGGCAATAAAAAAAAAACATAAAAGTAGGCGTGCGTCTTGATTGAAAGTTGACGATCTACTGCGGGGGGCGGGTGGCCGGAAGCGTGACCAACGCGGCGTCTCGGTAACGGAAACGCTCTTTGTTATATCATGGCGCCGCGTAGGACACCCGTGACCTCATGAGGTTTTATAGGTTTTTTTTCTAAACTGTACCTTTTACAGCGGTCTAGCATATATGGATATTCATGTCTCCTAATAATACATCAAAGTGCACCAAGACAAAAAAAATCAATTTTGGTTATAATTAGCATGGCGTTTAATGTGTTAAATGAGGCTTTAAAGGACAATGTATAAAATCCGCCTAAGGACGGTTGGGAATATTAATTAGTCAGTAATTATAGTTTTATTTTATAACGTTTAAAACGTTCATTAGAATCCCACGGACACTTAAAGTTCGCAAAGAATAAATAATTAGTTGACTGATTGGATTGTCACGTATATTCCGTTTATCTCATGTTTATTATCTATACTTGGTGTTACCAGGTTTTTCTAATAAAAAATGTCAGTGTTCTGTTCGATGTTAAAAATAAAGACATGGCTAAAAGGACTAGATTCCAAGCCAAAGATCTTACTAACTAAAAAACTATTTAAAAATCAGTACTCCTACGCTGGCAACATATCTGTCAAAAGGTTTGACACTAGTGATGTTAACCGATTACAATTTTCAGCACCGGTTTAAACCGATTACGTTAAGAAAAAAACCGGTTTTTTAAGGTACTTTTAGGTTGTTTTCTTATTTTTTTATAGAAAGAACAAAAGCTCTAATCTTTTTTTTTTAAATCTACTTTATTAAAATCAAAATACCTTTAACTTGAAAATAACTAATCGCATAAGTCGTAATTTTGATTGAGAAAACAGATCTGATCGACAGCATCCGCTTGCAACCTGCTTCTTTTTGAAGACACTTAACCTGACTTCGAAAACATCCTTTCTGGAGGTACAGACGACTTGCAAAAGCGGCGGAAAGTGATTTTGTGTCTATTTGGTAATTTATAGTTTGGGTTCAAAACTTCTGTGAATCTCCTAAATCCCCCTGTCTTCAACAATTGAATAGGGCTGGAAGTCAGTAGCGATCATCATGGTTAAATATTTATAAATTTGTTTCTTATTACTTACCAGAGTCAAGATAGTAAGGTTTTTCCTAATAAAATACCAGTTTTGAATTATGGCTTATTATTTATTTTTCTTAAAATAATGAGGTAAAATAACAATCACAGAAAGGAAGTGGTCATCGATCAGATAAGTAATTACCAAATTTAAATGTTATACTTTGCCTGTTTCTAACAAATCGTAGTTTTGGTTTATGAAACAAATTTGGTCCACAGCATCTGCTTGTAGCCTGCTCCTTCTAGAGGACAATACATATCCTGATTTAGAGAACATCCTCTCTGAAGGTACCGATGTGGCTGGTATAGCTAAATACTTTAGCGCTATTGTATTTAATGGCGCCAAGTGTTTGTTGCTGGACCAAAAAGCTCCCGCACTTTCAGCTGCTTTTGTGATCTCGGCTTCTTCATTTTGTGGATCTGTCTCCAAATACATTCGTAAAATATTAACTGCAGAAGCAGTTAAATTAGTATTGGGTCTTCTTTGTTTTATGAAGTCTAGCAGTCCAGGTTTTTTCTGTTCTGTGCTACTACCTGGCTGCTCCGAAGTCGATGGCATAGAGCTATCGGCACAATCTTTTAAGTTATGGGATAATTCTTTCCTGACTAACTCTTTAGCCGACTGCATGTTCTCCGGGTGACGGAATCCTGTTTTTAATACTGGATGTAAATATGTAGCCATTTGGGATACAGTTCTTGTCTCATATGCCAAGAGTCTGCTACTTATGTTTCGCCTCACTGATGAGTGAAACATCTTGCCTATATCTGTTGTTAGGCAAATTTCTATTGTGTTCAATTTTTCAAATAGTCCACATATTAAAGGAATAACTAGTGAACTAGTTGGATATTGATCAGCGCTGACGAGTTTTGTAGCTTCCTCGAATATTTCCAAAATGTTGATAACTTCTCTCCCTGCTTCTTCTTCGGAAGCAGTTAAGTAGTCTGGCGCCTGATCTAATTTCCTACACACCAATGCGAGAATGTCACTTAGCTGTAGTATTCTCTTCATCATGTAGAATGTGCTGTTCCATCTTGTAGATACTTCTTGTATCAACTTCAAAGGAGTAGAATCGGGGTTTCTTTCTTTCTGAGCTAATTTTAGCGCTCGCCAACCTACAGATGATTTCTTAAAAAATTTCACTATGGCTTTACATTTGTTAGTTATGTCCTCCACCTGAGAAAGCTTCATAGAATCGTCCAAAGTTAAATTAAGCGTATGGGCAAAACACGGCATGTGCCGTATTCCCAGCAAATTACACATCTTCACCATGTTAGTACCATTATCAGTAACAATAGCAGAAATTTTTCCTAATATTTTCCATTCTGTTAGTAAATCTGTCATAATTTCAGCTAAATTTTCGCCTGTGTGTGAAGTTGGAACATCACATGTAGTTAATACGTAGCTTTTTAAAATGTTTTGGTTAAAAAAATGTATTGTGACAGTAAGGAAACAATCCATGTTTTGATTCGACCACATATCAGCAGTGAGTGCAAGATTCTTAATATTTTCAAGCATGCTAGCAAGCTGTAACTTTGCGCATTGGTAAAGTTCTGGCATTAGGTCATACCTGATCCTCTGTCTACTTGGTAGTTTATAGCTTGGATTCAATGCTTCAACCAGCTTCCTAAAACCCTTGTCTTCAACAATTGAGTACGGCTGAAAGTCCGTGGCGATCATCATAGTCAAATATTTATCGATTTTCTTTTTGCTACTTGATGCGGTCATTTTCAGAGTAGTCTGAAATATGGGGCGCGGAGTATCCGTTGGTTTTTCTTGTGTCGTGCTAGTAGATGTTTCCTGTGCCTGTGTGGCACCTGGCTGATCACCCACTTGACCTCGATCCACCTCCACTGTAGCCTGAGGATGGTTTCTCTTAATATGTGCCAACATATTCGAAGTTCCTCCTCCAACTTTGATCACTTTAGCGCATAGCTTACACTTTGCACTAACATTATCAATCTTTTCAAAATAATTTCTGGTAATTGATTTACTTTTTACTTTAGGCATATTTGCAAAGAAATATTGTTAACTCTAAAGAACTCGCAAGCAAAACAGAAACTGAAATATTTTAATATAGTGAAGTTAGTCGCATATTAAAATGGGATATCGGGGAATTTCCCTACCATAAACAACATTTTAAACAGAACAGAATCATGTTCGGATACATATCAAAGACTAGGATACATGTTTTGTGATTGTAATCGGTTTTGCCAATGAGAACCGGTGATTATAGGTTTTTAAAAAAACCGGTTTTTTAAAGGTTTTCATGAAACCGGTTCACATCGCTATTTGACACATATGCTCTCGCGCTCTCTGCGTTGCAACTTATTTTTCGTTTTTCGCTACTCATTTCTTTTATATTTTGGTTTTTTTTCTAACGACTTTGGCTTTACTTCGGACTGATTGGATTGCACTTCTGGTTGACCTGGCTGTGATAAATGGACTCTGTGAAATCTAACGAATTGGCTTTGTTTGCGGACATGGATCTGCAAAATCAGTTTTGTGTGAATTGTGGATCTGCTGGTGGTTCTATGCTGTTAAACAACGAAGAAATTCTTCGTTGTATACGTCAATGGACTGCTCCACGAGTGGTAAGTTTATTAAAAACATTTTATTACTACTTACTCAATTTAATTGTGTTTGAGCTATAAACTCGTATGATGATATTTCTCTGTCGTACACAATTTATAAGTAAAACTAATAAGAAGAAAGAAACTAATAAGAAGCTCATGACCTTATCTGCACAGTCTGTTGGTCAGAAGCAGTAAAGAAAACTTAATCTCAGTGCAGTGTTGGGCAGAACTGTGCGCTGTGTAAAAACCCTTTACTAAAGCATTCACACCAAATCATAGGCTTAAGAACTGATACTGCTATCACAAAAATACAAAAAGTATAATTCTGGAAAGACTCATTCCACTGGAAGTAAGTAAATAAAATGATAACAATGATTAACCCAACATGTTTATTATTTGATTTTTATTTATTAATACTTCTGTGCAGGTTCGGGCATCACATTTTATTTGCCATCCATGCTGGTAAAAAGCAGATCGTGTGGCGAAAAATTATTGTCAACCAAGCAAGAAATGAAATGCTGAAGAAAATGTAATGTTAACTGTGGCATTCATTTAACTAGAATACAACGGCGCATTTTACACGACGAAGTGTTACTTGGCTTAGTACAGCAACGTGTTGCACCACAAGTCGTAAGTTTTTAATAGGTTTAAGCTTACTACCAATAAAGGACAGTACCTTGTGTACATTTTATAATCGGAATAGCTTAAATTTTAGTCAACTTTTCAGCCACACCCAGGATTCACCCAAGGGAGGTAAGATATCAAAATGAATTATATTTCATATTAGCATTTGTTATTGTCTAAAAGTGGGCACCAAATGAATGTGTATGTAGGTTTCACATTAAGTTCTTTTTTTACATTAAGTTCCGAATAGCCTGTGCATATTTTTAATTCAAATTAATATAAGTTTTATTGATTATTATTACATTAAGACATATGTATGATTGTCTCATAAATATTCTATTTTTTTTCTTTCAACTTGTTAATTTCTGTACGTTATTCCTAGGTGCAACCATCAGACATAATTTGTGACGGATGCTTCCGAAGAGCTAGGAGCACAATTGGCTGAGGAAAATTATGATTCAAGTAATCAGTTACAAGCAGCTGAAAGTGCTGAAAGAGTTGAAAGAACTGAAACAATCACGTTACCCCACTATTGTTGAGCACCAGATACACATTCTAGGTGCATTTTTCCAAACTGTAATAATACCTCACAGCATGTGGTCCCATTGCCTGTAAGAGTGCAACTGTTAAACGATTATAAATATTATATCCCAC